CTTTAGTTTGAAGGTTGTGCGAACCTTTTATATCTTTTATATTTTATATTGAGAGTTTTGTGCAATTATTTTTATATTATCCTGCTTGAACTGGGATCATATCTCTTGTCGGGTGACTTCCTCATAAGTGATAAGCGTTATCCCACCATTTGTAAACATATGCTTGACTTGGTTTACCCTTTGCTCGGGTTTTGTTGTAAAGTCTTGCCATAACTTGACATTTTGTTTAGATGTCTAATTATGTGTCTTGCTCAACCGCCACCTTCCTAACTTTGTTGAACAATGTAATTCTCTAAATTTTCCTTTCATAATACCATTTAAAATGTTCCCTATATAATATGTATACTATATAATAGTCATGTTTGGTAGAGCTGTGGGAAAGTGCTTATAACTTATGCCTAAACAGCTTATAGCTTAAAACTTTCAGCTTAAGTTGATTTCCAACTTATTCTTAAAGCATCTCCTACCCCACTCAAAGAATAAGCTGATTTCTGACTTCCACAAAGCTATAAGCTATAAGCTATAAGTTAAACCAAACACATCAAAATAGTTTAAATTAAGCTGAAAGTTGAAATAAGCTGTAAATAATTTCTGCCAAACAGGTACAATATACTTGTGGTCAGAGTCATTGGGACAAATTTTGTGAATGAGACAAGTTATGATTGTGCCATCAAAATATTAAAAAAGAGAAGGGGAAAGAGATGACTGAAAGGAAGGAAGGTCACGTTCAATAATAAGTAAATTAATGAGAGTTTTTGTCTTTGCTTTTGTTGATGTGCCCACAATCCACATAGGCTTCTAGAGTAAAGCCCGACCGAAACGTTGTCATTTTGCTCTCCATTATGAGGTCTCTCACGAGCCCCCCATTGCTGCCTGTTTTTCTCTAACCCTTCATTTATATTCAGTCATTGTCTTTGCTTCTTGACCCTACTCTTCCCAAACTTCATGAGCCATACATGTTCTTTGTTCATTGCTGTGTTCTTGATTTTCTTGGATTAGTTAATTAGATTTGAATTAGGTGAAAATTGATATTCTTCTCGATTAGGTCAACGCGTTGAATACAAAATTACGGATCTGTTTGATTGAGCGTATTAAAATATAAGATTGAGATTATAAATATTTGAAACTCTATTCTAACGTTTGGTTACATTTTTTTTGTCCGGATTAGATATTCAGAACATGTTTATTTGGTCATACATGACCTTGCAATTGAATTAATAATCTAACAAAATATATAATTCGATATTTGGCTAAGAAAATTAATGTTTGGACTAATAGTCCAACCAGATATGATATCTCATATTATGTCTTAAGAGGGAGGTGGGATACAAAATGGAAAAAAATTCAAATACAAAATTGATAGGATTTTGTTAGTCTCAAGCTATCCAAACAAAAATGACCTTAACAGAAAGTTATCTCACAAAAACATGGGATATTCAATAATGAGGTGTGCTATTCAAAAGAAAATAAAAAATTAAAAATTAAAAAAGAAAAAGAAAAAAGGGAGGTGTGCTATTCATATGCTAATCTGTTGGATTATTAATCTTTTTTCAAACTTAATTCTTATATTTTTTATTAAAAAAAATAGAAGAAAAATTAAACTAACAAAAAAAAAAAAAAAAAAAACTTCCACAATTTTTGTAAGTATATATAGATTAAGTGGATCTAAACTGTTTAGAAAATTCACTCAAAAAATATGGACTAAAAACATCAAAAACTATTTTTAAAACTTCAAACCAATTTCGTATATTTGTCAAAGATCTAAATGATGCAAACATCCGTTGGCATTTTAGATGATTTTTTTTATTTGTCAAAGATCTAAATGATGCAAACATTTTCTTCTGATTTTATTGTTTGATTTTTATCCGTTCGGGCGCAATTTATTCTGTTAATAGAATGTAAATCCCATAAATTGATAATTTTAATCCTATACTATAATCTGCTCAGTTTATTTTTTGCAAGGTACAAGTGTTATAATACGTAGTATGGATATAGAGAAATCGTACTTAAAGCTATGTAGAATTTTGCAAATTAACTTTGAAATTTACACTTTTACCCTTCAAAAAAAAAAAATTAATGGACAATTAAAATAGTAAAAAGCATTACCTGATTTTATCTTTAATTTTTTAAGCAACTGTCTAGATCGATTACCAGCTCATGTGTAATTTTATTTGAAAAAGTAAGGGGTTAATTAGTGCCAAAAATAAAGATTGATTATTCATCCCCAATTAAGGAGATTCTTTATGTTGTATTAAGTTATTTATTTCTCCCTGTATGGGTTCTTTTTGTTAAAATTAATGCCATATTTACATTAGATACATTGGATACATTGCATGCATTGGATACATTGAGTTCATACATTCTTTGTATTCATGTATTTTTATATTCATGTATTTTATATTTATTAAGTACATTGTCTAGATTATATTCATGTACCTAATTAATTACAAGGTTGTTTAGGTTCATGGATCTTATTCATTGAACTTATGTATAACCTTCTCTATATAAAAAGGATGTAAGCCTATGAGCAAGATATATGGATCAATAAGTAATAAAAATTCAATACAAAATATAGTTCATTATAAAGAGAGTTTTATCAAAAGCTAACATAAGTGGTGAGAGGGTAATTTTTGGGAAAGAATTGGGCCGAGCTGTGAATTGGGCCCTGCGGCCCAAAGTGTGAAGGAATCGGTAAGAAGCCGTAGTGATATTTCGGCCCAGTAGAGGCATAGATACTCCGGTCCAGGAGAAGTGTAGTTATTCCGGCCCAGGAGAGGTGTGGTTACTCCGGTTCAAGAATGTGTTAAGCAACTCCGGTCCGGTGGCAATTTGAAGTAAGTCCGGCCTTACATTTAGTCCGGTCGTGTCATAATTTGGTTAGGTCGGTCAGAACTTGCTACTTAGAAGTTTGATCTAAACCCACCATGGTTGAACAGGGGAAAGCCGAGATAAGGAGTTGGTGGAGAAGACCGAGCTAAGGGCAGTTCGGCTTTCTCTGTGGCTCTGCATAGCCAAGCTTATTTCGGTCATATAGTAGTTCGGCCATGGTGAAAACCATCCCACTTGGTTTAAGCGGTGGGGGAGGGTGTAAAAGGATAAGCATTATCCTTAGGAGTATGAATCCTAGGAGGACTCTGCATGGAGAAATACAAGTCCTATTAGGATTGTGACACTCGAAACCTATAAAAGCTCACAAGCACCACCTTGGAGGAGGTAATTGAACACAATTTTTCTTGAGAACTTAGAGCTTTGTCTATTTTTCAAGTTTTCTGACTTAGGCATCGGAGAGGTTTCCGGCACACACCCGCCGGCTAGCTCACGTTTGTGTTTTCAGGTGCTAAAGCGACGTCGTACGGAGGAGCGTGGACTTGGTCAACAGGATTATACGAGGAGAATTATTTCCTCCCCGTACAAGTGGTATCAGAGCTTTGGTTGGGTCAAGAGCAAGCTGGGCGTAGAGATCGGATACGGGAAAACAAGCCCCGAAGAACAACAAACCGACGTCCATGGCGAATCCCATCAACCAAAATGTATCCACTCCTATCTTTAATGGTGAAAATTTTGATTTTTGGTATGTGAAAATGAGAACTATTTTTGTCTATACGGAGCTTGCCCTCTGTCCCTCCTATGGCAGATCTAGAGCCCCAACAACATAACTCCAGGAGGAGTGGTAGGGGAAGACGGAATAACAGCCCTCGTCACTCTCAAAGTCCTGACAGGCAAAGGAGGAGAATTGATCCTCAAGGAACCTGAAGATAAAGGAGCTTTGACAAATCCCCAAAAGAACCAATTAAAAGAGCAAAGGAAGAAGGATTCAAAGGCTCTTTCTTTTATTCAACAAGGAGTTTCAGAAACAATCTTTCCAAGAATTATCAATGCAACAAAATGATCGGATGCCTTGTGACAAGCATAGAACATGTGCCCTTCACTTTCTTGCTCCTCAGAAAAATTAGCTTGTTGAGTGCTCCTGACTAGGCAATCCTTCTTGACATGCCCAAATTTGTTGCAATTGTAACATTTTGGCTTTCCTCGAAACCAACAATCTTTATCAACATGATTGCTTCGGTTGCAAATTCCACACTTTTGTTGAGTGGACTCTTCATTTTCCTTTCTTTGAAAATTAGACCTTCCTCTTCCTCTTGCATTTCTTACTCTTCCAGTTGCATTTCTTCCTCCTCCTCTTCCTCTTCCTTGGGAATTAGAGGTACTAACATTGAGCTTGGATTGAAAGGCACTTTCAATTGACTTTTCAGATTGCCTACTCAACCTTTGCTCAAATGCTTTAATTGAACCCATCAATTCTTCAATACTCAAATCAGCAAGATCTTTAGTTTCTTCAATGACAGCAGCAATGGGATTGTATTTCTCCGGTAAACTTATCAAAATTTTCTCAACAACTCTTTGATTAGTAATATTATCCCCATAAATTTTCATTTGGTTTACAAGTTCCATAACCCTAGAAAAATAATCCTTCAACAATTCCATATCCTTCATCTTTAAATTTTCAAAATCTCTTTTCAATGACTGAAGTTTGATGGTTCTTACCTTCAAGTTGCCTCTATACTCTTTCTGAAGAATATCCCATGCCTCCAACGGATTTCTTGAGTGTTCGAGTTTATTTATGGCATGAAACAACTCGTAGCATGGGTCTAGCTTATTGATACGTTCCAAAAAACTCCACTTGAATTCATTTAATTTTTTTATTGGCAGTCACATGACAGGAGATGAAAGCATTTTTGTAAAAATGGATGCTTCCTCCAGTCCTCAAGTAAAAATGGGGAATGGTGCCTTAGTCCAAACAAAAGGAAAAGGTACTATTGCTATAGAAACCAAGATGGGTACAAGATTCATTTCCAATGTTCTCTTAGTTCCAAACTTAGAGCAAAATTTGCTAAGTGTTGGACAACTTATGGAGCGTGGATATCTTGTTCACTTTGAAGACGATTTTTGCAAATTTTTTGACAAATGGGGGGAAAAGCCAAGTTGTAGCACAAATCAAGATGGAGAAGAATGAAAAGGGTTTTCAAAGGAGCAAAAGTGAGCCAACTTTGTATATCAAGAGGCAAGGTACAACCGGTATTCTCATTGTTTCACTTTATGTTGATGATTTGGTTTTTACCGGTAGTGATGAAAACTTGATTGGAGATTTTAAAAGGGAGATGATGAAGAAATATGAAATGAGTGATTTGGGGCTATTGCATAATTTTTTAGGCATTGAAATCCACCAAAACAATGGTGGTGTTTTTATTTGCCAAAAGAAGTATGCTCAAACACTTTTTGAGAAATTTAAAATGAAGAATTGCAAAGCAGTTGCTACTCCCTTGATTGTGAATGAAAAGTTGTCAAAGGAAGATGGAAGCAAAGAAGCTGAAGCATCTTGTTATAGAAGTTTGGTTGGAAGTTTGTTGTACTTAACTGCTACAAGACCGGACATCTTCACCAAAGCTCTACCAAGGGACAAATTTGAATTTTTTAGAGAAATGTTGGGTGTCACACAATATGGCATTAAAGGAGAGTGTTAAAATTAATGCCATATTTACATTAGATACATTGGATACATTGCATGCATTGGATACATTGAGTTCATACATTCTTTGTATTCATGTATTTTTATATTCATGTATTTTATATTTATTAAGTACATTGTCAAGATTATATTCATGTACCTAATTAATTACAAGGTTGTTTAGATTCATGGATCTTATTCATTGAACTTATGTATAACCTTCTTTATATAAAAGGATGTAAGCCTATGGGCAAGATATATGAATCAATAAGTAATAAAAATTCAATACAAAATATAGTTCATTATAAAGAGAGTTTTATCAAAAGTTAACACTTTTGGTGGGTTTCTAGGCTTCTAGATATGTACTGTTGTCCAACAATTTGATATAATTTTTTTCATATTTGTAACTAATTAAAGTCCTACTAAGTGAAAAAACAAATCAATTATTTTTAAGTTCTACCTATGTGAGGAAAAATCTACCACACTACTTTGAAAGGACAAACACAAACTCCAATGAATTCTTGGTAACTCTTGAATGGGTTGCCATCACGATGAGTTCTTACTAGTTAGGGAGGCAAACTAAAAGTTGGTTTAACTCTAAATATGGTGCAAGTATGAGAGCAAATGATTATGTACTTTAGTTTGAAGGTTGTGCGAACCTTTTATATTTTATATTGAGAGTTTTGTGCAATTATTTTTTATATTATTCTGTTTGAACTGGGATCATATCTCTTGCCGGGTGACTTCTTCATAAGTGATAAACGTTATCCCACTATTTGTAAACATATGCTTGACTTGGTCTACCCTTTGCTCGGGTTTTGTCAGTGTAAAGTCTTGACATAACCTGACATTTGATCAAATAATTGTTTAGATGTCTAATTATGTGTCTTGCTCAACCGCCACCTTCCTAACTTTGTTGAACAATGTAATTCTCTAAACTTTCCTTCCATAATACCATTTAAAATGTTCCCTATATTATCTGTATACTATATAATATACTTGTGGTTAGAGTCATTGGGACAAATATTGTGGATGAGGTAATTCATGATTGTGCCATCAAAATATTAGAAAAGAGAAGAGGAAAGAGATGACTGAAAGGAAGGAAGGTCACATTCAATAATAAGTAAATTAATGAGAGTTTTTGTCTTTGCTTTTGTTGATGTGCCCACAATCCACATAGGCTTCTAGAGTAAAGCCCGACCGAAACGTTGTCATTTTGCTCTCCATTATGAGGTCTCTCACGAGCCCCCCATTGCTGCCTGTTTTTCTCTAACCCTTCATTTATATTCAGTCATTGTCTTTGCTTCTTGACCCTACTCTTCCCAAACTTCATGAGCCATACATGTTCTTTGTTCATTGCTGTGTTCTTGATTTTCTTGGATTAGTTAATTAGATTTGAATTAGGTGAAAATTGATATTCTTCTCGATTAGGTCAACGCGTTGAATACAAAATTATGGATCTGTTTGATTGAGCGTATTAAAATATAAGATTGAGATTACAAATATTTGAAACTCTATTCTAACGTTTGGTTACATTTTTTTGTCCGGATTAGATATTCAGAACATGTTTATTTGGTCATACATGACCTTGCAATTGGATTGATAATCTAACAAAATATATAATTCGATATTTGGCTAAAAAAGTTAATGTTTGGACTAATAGTCCAACTAGATATGATATCTTTCATATGAGGGACTATTATGTCTTTAGAGGGAGGTGTGATACAAAATGGAAAAGAAATTCAAATACAAAATTGATAGGATTTTGTTAGTCTCAAGCTATCCAAACAAAAATGACCTTAGCAGAAAGTTATCTCACAAAAACATGGGATATTCAATAATGAGGTGTGCTATTCAAAAGAAAATAAAAAATTAAAAATTAAAAAAGAAAAAGAAAAAAGGGAGGTGTGCTATTCATATGCTAATCTGTTGGATTATTAATCTTTCTTCAAACTTAATTCTTATATTTTTTATTAAAAAAAATAGAAGAAAAATTAAAAAAAAAAAAAAAAAAAAAAAAAAAAAAACTTCCACAATTTTTGTAAGTATATATAGATTAAGTGGATCAAAAATTTTTAAAGGGTAAATTACATTTACCTCCCCTGAGGTTTCTGACAAATACAGGAACCTTCCCTGTAATTTAAATAATTACAGTAACCTCTCCTACTTTACCTGACAATGTCAAGATTCTCTCTTTCTGTCAAATTGTTCCAAACGGTGTTACTTTTTCTATAGTAAATTACCTTATTGCACTTTCTTTTAAAATATCAAAAAATGTTTTGGATTAGAGAACAGGTTTGGAAGAAACAAACAGTGTTTGGAATAGTATTTTTGGATTTATTTTTTTAAAATATTAAAAAATGTTTTAAAAAAATTGTTTTTTTATTTTAAATATATAATTTTTATTTAAATATTTTTAAAATTTTTATTTTATTTTGTAAATATTTTAATTTTTTAATTTTAATATTTTAAACTCAAAACACAACTTTCACACTCAAATCGTAACAAACACATAACTAAAAAACTCAATTCAAAAATTATTTCAAAACTTATACAAAACAGATAACTCGACACTCTACACTACTTTCAAAACTCCACACTCAAATTGTAGCCAACCCATTAACAAAAAAAATTAAAATTATTAAAAATATATTTATAAATAAAAACTATATATTTAAATAAAAAATAATTTTTTTAATATTTAAAAAATATATTTAAAATATTCAAAAAAAATGCAACCCATAGATGTATGAAATATAGTGTACATTAAATAAATAAATAAATATTTTAAAATATAAAATATTTACCCTAAAAAAAAATTTCAAAAAATTCAAAATTTATAACTAAACAAATTTTTTTCTTTTTCAAACTTCTAACTCAAAATACGACTCCATACTCAAATCATGATTCTAAATATAAAATTATAATTTTTTTTTGAAATTATTTTTCTTTAAAATAGAGTTTTTGAAAAAGTTTTGGTTTGAATTTTGAAAAGAATTTTGAGTTTTGAATTGAGTTTTAAGTTGTATTTGGTTATAAGTTTTCAAAAATGATTTTTAAATTGAGTTTTGAGTAAAAACATTTCCGAAAAATGATTTTTTTTTGAAACATGTTTGGTTCTCTTTAGAATCACAATTCCAACTAGAAATTTTCAAATATCTTTTCAAAACTCATATATGGGGCTGGTTTGATTTGCTTTTCAGAAAGTTGTTTTTGAAATTTTTTTCTAAATTTTGTTTGATTCGAGATTTTTTTTATTTTTTAAAAAAAAAATTCGAAATCAATTTTTTTTCTCTATATATCAATCAATTGTTTTTTCTCCCCTCTTCTTTTTCAAATCACTTTTCTCTACACACATCTATTGAATTACAACAAAATATCAAATCATCCAAATTTTCAAACTCCCAAAACTCACTTTCCAAAATATACAACCAAACAAATCAAAAAAATTCTAAACTCTCCTCCCAAAATTTTTTTTTTTTTTGAAAATCACTTCTCGTCAAAAAGCAAACCAGACACATCCATATGTGTTGCTTAAACCAAATACACAATCAAAACTCAATTCAAAAATTATTTTCAAAAACTCATAACCGAACACAAACTTAAAAAAATAAAACTTAGTTAAATATATTTTTTAAATATTAAAAATATTAGAATTTTTTTTTTATTTTAGAATATTTTTATTTTATTTTATAAATATATTTTTAAATATTTTAATTTTTTTGTTATACGTTTGGTTACGATTTGAGTGTAGAGTTTTGAACACAGTGTGGAGTGTCGAGTTATGTGTTTGGTTATGAGATTTGAAAATAATTTTTGAATTGAGTTTTGAATTATGTGTTTGGTTACGATTTAAGTGTGAAGTTATATTTTGAGTTTAAAATATTAAAATTAAAAAAATTAAAATATTTACAAAATAAAATAAAATATTTAAAAATATTTAAATAAAAATTATATATTTAAAATAAAGAAATAAATTTTTTAAAACATTTTTTAATATTTTAAAAAAACAAATCCAAAAATACTGTTCCAAACACTGTTTGTTTCTTCCAAACCTGTCCTCTAATCCAAAAATATTTTTTAATATTTTAAAAGGAAGGGCAATAAGGTAATTTATTATAGAAAAAGTAAAATTGTTTGGAATAATTTAATAGAATGGGAGAATCTTGACATTGTCGGGTAAAGCATGACAGGTTACTGTAATTATTCAAACCACAAGGGAAGTCTCTGTATTTGTCAGAAATCTCAAGGGAGGTAAATGTAATTTACCCATTTTTAAAAGTTTACTAAAGATAAAAAAAATACAAAAACTTAAAACTATTTTTGAAATTTGTTAACCAAACAGAGTGATTTAAATTTCAATTTTTTAATGGCAAGAAAAATAAACAAATAGAAATATATTTATTGATATTTATAATATATTTTCTATTGTAACTAGTAAAAATTTGATGTAACAGTGATACTATATAACGTTATCGCCATCAAATAAATAATCTTGATTTGTAATAAGAATTACAACAATGTTGAGTTAGAGAGAGAAAGATTATCTACTTAATTGCATTTGCGATTTTCTATTAGTGTCATCGTTACCCTCAACAATGTTGAGTTAGAGAGAGAAAGATTATCTACTTAATTGCATTTGCGATTTTCTATTAGTGTCATCGTTACCCTCAATATTTTTTCGCTAGATGTCTATTTGATGCAGTCTTTAGTATTTTAATAAGATTAAATTATATTTAATAAAATGATAGTAATATTAATATACTTTTTTACAAGTTTTTGATACCTTGATGGGGCCTAGGAACCCATTAAACGACATATGGCGTCACCCCCTGTTTCCAATCAAACAAGGTCTAAGTATTATAGGTATATATATATAGTTTGCTGGGTAAGTATTATATTTTTATATAAGAAAAATACAATAATTATTTAGCATAACCTTTCATATAGTGTGGGGACATATTTTTTGGATAGCAACACGTGGCCAAGGTAACACCGAAGTGCCAGCCGAGGTGCCGTGTGTCCGTATCTTGACGCCGAGGTGATCTCGGCTAGGCCAAAGTTAACTGCAAAGATACTGGAATCCGAGATGAACGGATAAGCTATAAGAGTCCTTGAATGGGAGAGGACTTTAGTTTGGATAAGGATAAAGCTCTTAGAGAGTTTATCTTTATCTATTGGAGAGTCCAGTATAGGCATTGGGCCAGAGTCCAAGGGAAGTTGGACTTCTACAGGGATCAGGTTAGTACTGACTATAAAAGTAAGGCACTCTCATGAGTCTAAGGTACGCTTTTTGTATTCTGGCTAGTGAGTTAAGCACTAATCATTATCTTTTGGAGATAACTGTGTATTGACTTGATCATCGGAGTGTCCCCGGGTGGATGAACCACCGCCTGATTCTTTTCTTTCTGTGATAGGTCGTTCGGGCGCAATCTATCCTGCCAGTATTCTCCAGCTGAGTACCTGTTTGGCAGTGTGGACAGAAAACATCACACACAATTTGGCGCCGTCCGTGGGAAAGAAATGAGAATAGATGGCCAACGACGGACATAAAGAAAAGGTTGGGGACGACGTCCCTACTGGGAGTGGTAAACATATTGACCCTAACGTGGAGGAGGATAACTGCAACGATGAAGCTCGGGATCAGAACCCCAGAGAGAAGGACGTCGGCTAGGAGGGAGACGTACCAAAGAAGGCAGACCGAGGCGGGTATTATGACGAGAACGACCTCCGGGTATGGAAAGATAGATGCCTGTGGAGGGACGGAGAGATGAAGGAAATGGAAAATAAATTGGCAGACCTGCAATCGGTCGTTAATTTCATGATGCAGAACAACGTCATACAACCACCATTTCCATTACAAGACACGCCAATTCTAGCGGCCAAGAACAATGCCCAGAAAAGAGGGCATAAAACAGTCCTTGCAATCCCCCAGTACACAAGGACCAAGGAACACTCTCACCGGCCTTCAAGGGAGGTCGGGCGAGGAGAGTCAATGAAGGGAGATTCCCGAAGGACGCATCATACCAAAGAAGCTAACCTCAAAGAACATCGACATGTTCAAGGGAAGAAACTTTGTTTCGATGCAACTAACGGAGAGAGGTCCAAGAGGACTCATAATGATGCCGGGAGTAATGCACCAAAAAGGTTAAAATCCGTTGATAGCCGAGCTCCTGGACGGACCAAGGAGGATCTGAGGGATTACTTCCAGAGGAAGCGACAAGATGCCGAGGTAACTTCTTTGATCAAGCCAAGAACGCCGTTCTCGATGGAGTTGGACAAATTTGAGGCCCCAAAAAGGTTTCACATGCCGAGGTTCCAGATATACGACAGTAAGTCTGACCCTAATTTTCACGTCAGCTTGTACCTAATATCAATGGCACTGTACACCGG